TGAAATCAGATATCGATGTGCTTGGTACGCACATGGAATCAATCGTTCTTTGATAGCGTGATGGCAGACTGGTTGTCAGAATGCAGATGGATAGGACGCTCGGGTTCACCAAACAGTTCTATGATGAAAGAGCGAAGCCACATGGCTTTCTTGCTAGTGTAAGTCAGTGCCGCATACTCAGCCTCAGTAGTCGAAAGCGTAACAAGATCTTGCCACTTCGAGAACCAGGAGACCGCACCACCATTCAGCATGAAGACGTACCCCGAGATCGCACGGTGTCTTCCGTGCTCATACCATCCACATTGGAATAACCTATGACCTCATTGTCTTCGGATCCACCAAGAACCAGGCACTGGTCTGCTGTCCCCTTGAGGTATTGATAAACGTGCTTGAGCATGTTCCAGTGCATGATGCCCAGGTTCTGGCTAAACTGTGCAAGCTGACTGACAGCAAAGGTTATGTCTGGACACGTAGACATGGAGACATACTGTAGCGCTCCAAGTGCTTCCAGGTATGGCTTATCATGCATAACAGCGTATTCTTCTGTGGTAACCAGGCATTGGTCAGAGGAAAGATGGATGTGAGGATTCATGGGTTGGAAGAGCGGCTTCGCATCGGCAAAATTATAGTGCATGACAATTGACTCGATATATGTGCGCTGCGATAGCGCAATGGTATGTTTTTACCAATTGCACTTGATTTCAATCCCCAAGAGCCAATGGAGCTCACCGCTGTCCGTAATCTCCAATTTTGACTTGATTATATTCTTCAACTGCAGAAGGTTTGCCAGGACTGAGCTGACAATAATTATGTCATCAACGTGCAGGAAAATGATGAAGATCTCACCATTCGAATGACACCGATAGAAGACAGCATGATCGTGTTCAAGTCGCACAAGCTTGAAGCTTTCAAGAATGTCACGCAGCTTCGAGTACCAGTGACGACCAGATTGCCACATTCCATAAAGCAATACCTGAAGATGAAGCACTTGTCCAGGTACCAGGCCCTCAAGAGCGATGTCAGACAGCGGTCGCATGTATATTTCTTCATCGTCACGCAGCTTGCCATAAAGGTACGCACTCTTGACGTCAATTTGGTGAGCATGCCATCCATTCCGAGCTGCTACTGACAGTATAGTGTAAATGGAAGCGAGCTCACAAACAGCAGCGTAGGTGTCGTCATGGTATTAGTCAGTGCCCTCTACCTGCGAGAAGCCTTGGATGCATAGGCACACGCGGTAACCGGTTACGTGGCCTCGCACATCTCTCTTAGTGTGAAAAGCCCAAGTCGACCCTACGACATTTTTTTCTGATGAATGCAGCAGCAGATCCACATAAACTCAGCTCTGTCTCGATTCCAGGCGACGAATCTCTTCTTGCATGACCTCTAGCCACAATGGCCAGTCTGGATGACGCTTCACCTCGGCGACATTTCGTGGATCGAAACCCATTGCCTCAGAGGTTACTACTTCTACGGCGTACGCAACGGTCTCACTGAATGCATAATTGATAGCGACTTCAGTCAAGGCACCCTCACCTTATTCCGATGCGATGTTGTGCATCTTTGCACTCAGCAAGCAGATTCTTTTGCCCATCACAACGTTAGGACCTTCTGGCTCGCAAGTTTTCTCAGGTGCTACAAGAGGAGCAGGAATGATAGGTGGTGAGGGAGGCAGAGCAGCGTCAGAAACTTTTGATTCCAATTCTAAGGTAGGCCCTATATCCACATCATTATGCTCCCCCTCGACGCGTGGAGCCTTCTTCCTGAAGACAACGTCACACTCTACTGTGATCGTCTTTTGAGTTGGTCAATAGATGCGATTCCCATTCGACGAGTCGTCAAATCTGAGCCAGCGAGCCTCTACACCACGCACATCCAGCTTCGATGCGTTATCGACTTTCATGAACACGATGTTCCTCCACGGGTGCAACTGTGATACATCTGGTGCATGGCCGAACCGGACCTCATACGGAGTCTTGCTGCCCAGGGCATGATGCGTGGTCCAATTGTAGATGTGCACGACATATGCCAGTGCCTCGCCCCACAGCCACTTGAGCAAACCTGAGCTGACAAGAGCTGCATGAACGCCATTAAAGATTGTGCCATGCGTTCACTCTGTGACACCGTTATATTCAGGGGTATCATGAACAGTAAGTTTTCTAATGGCTCCTGTGCATTCGAGGTGCGCTGACATATCGTCGGATAGAAACTCGCCCCTGTGATCTGACTGTATGACCTTTACACGAGTACCATCCTGCATTTGCAAACATGCTTCGAATTCGACGAACTTGCTGAAGGCCCCAGATTTCAACCATAGTAATGGCATCTCGAGCCAATGCATAGTGTCATCGACGATTGTGAGCGCGTAATGGCTATGATTTACCATCATAACTGACGCAGGTCCCCATATGTCTAGATGAACATGCTCACTGTAAGAAGTGGCAAGCGAAGACTGGTGAATAGGGGCGATAGGAGCACGGTGTGCCTTTGTGACTAGGCACGTTCAGCATTTGACCTCCTCAGTACGTTGAGGATCTAGCCTAACGCCAGTGATGCAATGCTCATGAAGCATCGCCTTGATGTATCTGTAGTTCACATGTCCCAGATGGCAATGAATCTCATGCAATGACAGCGAGATGGGAACTGCGAGCGATGTGCTTGTGTGGAAGATCCAGTAGAGACCATCTGCATGAGGAACAGATCTGACAAGCACGTTTTTCAGATCAGTGATTCGTAGCTCCCCTGATGACCTGCATAGCTATATCTGTCTTCTTCCAGTATCCCCAGTGACACAAGCATCACATGCATAGCCGGTGCATACAAGACATCGTGCAGATGCAAGTAACACGGCCCATCCCGATGTGTGAAAGTGATATCGAGGTCGCCCATACCGTTCACAATGAAGATCTCCGAATTTGCGACATAAATCCAATGCGGCACAATCATACAGTAATTTGTTAGGTGTTCCAAGTGCGGCATCATATGCCGCGAAGCCCCTGAGTCAAAAATGTCGACTCTGCAACCCATTTACATTGCTGCGGCCACTGTCTCATGAGTGTTCGCTATGCGTATCTCGATCTGCTCTGCTAATTTGGAGCAATCAATGGTGGTTGCCTCAAGGCCAGTCACAGGGCCTATCACGGAGGTACTCCAGGCCTCTGAGATTATTGCACCCTGAACAGCTGGCCCTGTCATCGCAGAGGATGCAGTGCTATCCGTTGCACCATTCTTCAGCTTCATGGTAGCTGCCTTGCTGTCGCTCACACTCGCAGTGGCTTCAGTCTTCGCCTTTGGGCATTCCTGGTAAGTTTTTGTCAATGGACACTGTGCCTTGCAATGCCCCTTACCCCCGCATTGAAAGCAGGTTATCTCATCATTCGACCTCTTCGGTGTTTCCCCTCGACTAGATCCTTGTCCGCAACCATGCTGGCCATGCTGTCCATGCTGCCCACAGCCGCTCTTCCCTCCTCGAGATGTGCTAACCACAGCTTCAGTGGTAGCAGTCTGCTCACCTGACTTCAGCACAGCGTGTGAGTCAGCTTCAGCTCGCAGCATGTGTATGATCTTATCTGGTGTGACCATTTTCTTGGTCACGTCTGTCGACAGCATCTAGTTATAGATCTCAGCGGCTGTCATAATCGCAGTGACACTTGGTGCGAAAGAGCGGGGAATAGACGTTGTGATTGCATTGATGTAAGTACGATCTTCGATGATGATGTTTGACTCAGCTAACTTCTCCTTGAGCTCTGCTAGCTGGTCGAGGTGCTGGCGCAACTTGCGCTCATCAGTACACTTCAAGGTGAACAACTTCACTTTGGTTACAGCATCCATAGCAGCAGTCAGAGTTCCGAACTCGGTCTTCAAGCCAGCCATGACTTGATGCACCTCGGTAATGCTAAGGTACCTCCGAAAAAGTGAGTCTGTAAATTTTCCCATAATTGCATTGAGCATCTGCTTGTTAAGCTTGATTTCCGCAGCCTCCGATGAGTCAGCGGTGCATGCCAGCAGTTCGTCAGCATCACAAGCACCTGCTGCACATTGGACACGGCCAAGCCATATACAATAATTTGATCCATCGATGGCAAGCTTTGGGACTTCTGCAAATTCCTTCGCAACAGATGTTGTCATGATGGGAACAGTAGGTTGTGATGGGGAAGGTGCTGGTGGTTGAGCAAGGGAAGTTAAAGAAGGTGGAGCAGCTTCTGCTGAATATAATGTAGGATTAATGTGAGACAAATGAGCAAGGTGGGATTCCGTATGGTACAGATAAAGATCTCCTAGATCTGAAACCTCGTGACCCTGCTGTCCAAGCAGGCAACGAGTACTAGTGCGAATATGTGCACGTTCAAGGGTAATGGTCTGCTTATATCTAAAGCAGATCTTCATGCACTGACTTCGAGTATTCGCAGGTGATAAGCTCGGGGCTCATAACCTAATGCGCTATGGCACGGAGGTGCAACGGATGACCGTGAAGGGTCAACACAGCTGGTATGCCTGCATCTACTCGATACGGAAAGACCGGAGGGTTAAAGTGATGCGTACTATCGCATCAGTGGATTGCACCAGGGTAAAGCCTCTCTATTCATACCTAAAGTGATGCATACTATCACGTCACTGTGCTAAGCGTAAGTACATCTGTACGGTGTGGAACTATATGTAAAACCACATATGCAGATTGCACCAGGTTAAAGCCTCTGAGGCATCCGATGAACTCGCTGCAAATATATATGCTAACTGTCAAGTGTCTGAAGGGAAGTGAGCATTGGGGAGCTCAAAATCGAGTGGGGTGAGCATATACTAGACTAGGCAATAATGTATCCTTATAGGTACCAAGGTAAGCCACAGATCACAAATTGCGACACGCTGATCATCAACGGCGCTACTTACCAGCTGACTTCTTTGAAGGCAAACCCTTGAAAAAGGTTTTCATCAATCGACTCACTGAAGCAGGTCAATACTGTTTTCCTCGCAACAAACAGCCACTTTCTCCTCTCAAACCTATGCCCCCCATTCGCTCATCTGAGTGGACCACTGCTACCAAAGCAGCACAGCACACAGAGCTAAGGCACTGCGTGAGGCACACAATGAGTGAAAGAAAGCAAAGTGCATTGAAAAATGTATTAAGCAAGCCGAGGAAAGTAAAGCCAAACTTTCCCACACTGAATGACTCGAACCACCTCTGCTATATCAGCACCCCCCTCCAGGTGAAATCTGTAACTTCACCAAGACTGATCCAGTCCAGAAGAAGGTCGATGTATACCACGTTGAGCTACACACCACTATTGAGCACCTCAAAGCCTACTACGATTCCTTCGACAAGCATCATCATCATATTAAAGGCGACGACAAGGAGCTACTTATCTGGCTCGCTGTGACACTCAATCGCATCAATATGAATCTCAATTCATACATGAAGGAATACATGGATGAACAGTGGAAGAGATTGAACTGGAGGTTACAAGTGATTGGAAAGGTCAAATTCACAGGCCTTCAAGCGAACTACCTTACTATTTCGCACCAGCTCGCTGAGATCATTTGAGGGAATTTCTTTGAACAACTGTAATATTCCTAGTTACATGTACTTTCGTCAATACTATAGCATTCACTACCTTCACACACAATTATCTCAAATTGTTAAATTGGACAGACAAAATGGACGAGTAGTTGAATACATCATACTGTTTGAAACAATATTCGCATATCTACCATTAATGTGCACCCAAGAGACAATCATTGCATGATACACTATCGCTGTTGAAACCAATTACCTCACTTTCACCTATCTACCCAACTGCTTCATTGATGATGAGTACCTCTAAAGATGCCAAAGTGTCCATGTTCCAGCTTGATGAAACAAACTGGACAGACTGGTTCACACGCATGCGTGGTTACCTGATGATGAAATGTCTCTGGCAGTACATTGATATGCTGACATACAAGCTGTCACCCCAGATGAAGTTTAACATCGCCACTGCCCTTGCTGTGACTGATGTGGATCCTCCTGAGACCACTATCACTCCAGTTGACATCAACACCCAGGAATCATGGGATGAAGATGATCAGCAGGAACTAGGCATCATTCTGGTATGGATGCAGCAAAAACTGCACTCAGATATATGTAGATGAAATTCCTCATGCACTCGATGCATGGGAAACCCTCAAACAAGTTTATGAAACAGAATCTGTTCTAGAGACCTGAAACCTTGCTGTTGAGTACATGAATACTCAGATGGACGATGGAAAGTCACTTCAACAACAAATTGACGACTTGGAGATGCAGCAAAATTACATCACCAAATCAGGGTTCTGTCACAGATTTTCACCACAAAGTCTGCACGTGACTTTTCTCACATCACAGATCACGTGCTTCACCAATATCTCATGCCACTCAGCCACAGACGTGACACGTAGAGATCAGGTGATAGTCCACATCACATGTTATGGTCCAGACCCGTGGATGATACAGTCGAACCTGTCTATTCCAGGATACAATAGAGGCACCCATTTGGAAACAAAAGGAACAAGGACTATTGTTCGGGATCATCTAGGCAATCAGCTCAAGGTATAGCTGTTACCACGATAGGATGGATCGTCTCACCGTTCCCACTGGAGTACATCGATCTTCTCACCTATTGTTCTACTTACAGATAGATTCTCCCACTTATTGTTCCATGTATAGTTTAGTCGCCTAGATATGTAGATAGCCAATCATCTATTTTGTAGTAGTGGTATGATGAAGGTAATGTAATCAGGCTCCTGTATACGTATATAAGACCAGCATATAGAGGACGAAACTTCAGATTGTTTCTCCTCATCTACCACTGTAGCACTTACTGAGCTCACCAGCTCCTGCATATATCTCTCACCCTTCCAACTGCTTGCTTCATCGCCAAGTAAGTGCTAGGCTCTTGCACCACATAAGGGTTCAGGGGGATCATAGGGACCAGGGGGATCAGGGCAGCACATTCTACGTGACTGTTCCCTTTTTAGTCTCTTTGCTCTCTTGTCCAGTGGTGCTGTGGCATTAGAAACAATCTGACCATTTTCTGCATCCCTGCTTAGTGTCTAACACAAGTGGTCACATATTTTCAGCGCAAACAGTTTCAGCCATAGCGCGCAGCTTTTTTGACATACATTCCAATCCGATCTCTACCTGGTGTGAGCCTCAGCAAGACTCTGAGCTGCCCAAGGCTTCGAAGCACAAGGCCACATCTAGAATTGACCTCGATGCACACTACAAGTGTCAAGAAACCAACAAGAAGCGTGGAAGGCTCCTCACACTTGCATCGCTAGGTGCATCATCCACAGACAGGCAGCGAGCAGCAGCGAGGGTCATCGACACCACACACATCATAAAGTGCGGGATCATCCACAAATCTTGCGAGTGTACCCCACTGCTCGAACGCTACAAGCCTAGATGAGGACGCCTCACCACTGGTAGTCGCAAGCTGGCACCACCCCCAGAACTCATCACCTCCAACGCAGTACCTCCCCCCATCATTGCTCCCATCCCAGTTCGGCCGCTACCGAACTTCATTAAGACCAACACTGTTGCCCATCCCATTCACCCACTCCCATCAAGAGTCAGGCCAATGATTCACATTGAGACACTCACAAAACAAGTGGATGCCACTCGCTTTCAGCTCCAGCCCATCTTAGGAGCTTTCGCATATCGTCTCAAGGACAAGCATCAGGGACCTATTTACAGCCTCACTACAGAACTCGACAAGGTTTGCACTGACCTACACACTGGAACGCACACATACACGTTCATCGAGAAGCAGGTCATCAACATGGTCTGTTTAGAAATAAGAGGGATAAGCTTCAAGCAGATAGGGAAGGAAGAAAGGCTGCAGGAGATTGCCAAGGCTCTGGTTTTCATCACGAAAAAGCGATATTTGAATTTCTTGTACTAGTCTACATATTTACCTTGCAATGGAGGGAGCCGATCGAGCATACGCGTCCACATTCAGACAGAGAATGGAGGACATACTCCATCCCAACATTGAAACGGCACACGACGGCAGTATCCCACGTGCCTCACAGCACAATTCACCTGAACCATGGCTAGGACCCCAAGATTCTGCATCACAAGTCAGAGGACCTGCATCCCTGACACCATCACTTCTGCCTGCATATGTCCCTCCCACATGGAAATTTGACGGACATCAATTTGAGCATCTAGAAGATGCGCTTAGGCAATCTAATCCCGGAGAAGTTCCAGATCACATTCGTGAATGGGTCATAGTCACTATGAAACTCACTGTCCACACGGAAGTCGCAAAGGTCTATAACATGCTCAAAAACAAACTGTACGAGCACAAGAGAGCCTTTGATGTGGTGATTCAAACCAACAAGAGCGAGCACTGGTTAAAGGAGGCAGTCCTCCAAACAGAAATCGGAAAGCTCAAAGACAGGATCCTCGTGCAAGATGCATATATGACAGTCCTCAATGACGAGATCACGAGAACACATGGAGCTATGCTAGACATGGGCAAGGAGATGATGGAAACAAAGGCAGAAAACACCAAGCTGCATCATGAGCTAGCTTCACTCAAAGCAAGCGGCGTCACAGGATACACCTCCGGCATGGTCCAAACACACAGACCCCACATCAAAATCACTGAACCTCCACACTACTCGGGCAAAGGAAGTCTGGAGGACTGGCTCCAACAACTCAGTATATGGATGCGATGGAACGAGATCAATGACGACGAACACAAGATCACCACAGCCCTGCTGCACTTGGAGGGTGGCGCGTTCACCTACATGTCTGAATATGTAACCAAGGCAGTGGCACGGCAATCACTCGGCACATGGGAAGACTTCGTCAATGTTTTCAAGGTTAACTACAGGACCCTTGACCCGGACAAGGATGCGCAACAACATTTGAAGGAGATCTGTGCAAAAACCTACCCCACGATGGTCTCCTTCACAGAAAAGTTCCACCAATGGGCCACCAAGACCAACTTGGGGCACACTGCACTCATTGGCTATATTGCTGAACATCGCGACAAGGATGTACATCAAGCAATGGTGACACGAGACAGTTTGGAAATTGCTTGGGAATTGCCGACCCCATCACCTGACCAGAATACCTCGACCTATGTCTTCAATTAGAGTTGAAGTTCAAAGCCGATAAGGCAGGACAGTGCAGAACAACTACGCCATCATCATCACAAGCATTGAAACCTCAAAAGAACCCTAACGCAATGGACGTGGATCGAGTATCCACCCTCACCAAGGAACAGGAAGGATGGCTGGAAAAGAAGCTGTGCGTACGATGTGGGAAACACCCCTTCGTATTTAAACAGTGCTGCCCAGACCTCAAGTATAAAGGCAAATTTGAAATGCCAAAACGGGGGCAAGCGACGAGGGCAATATCAACAACAGCATCATCAACCAGCTCTGACAACAGCAAGGTGAGAGAGGAAGCAGTCCGCACTTTCATAGCCAGCTACGACATGAAGGGAAAGGAAAAGGAGGCAGAACCGCAACCAGCTTTCGAAGCAGCTAGGATCACGGAGGTAGAAGATGATGAGGATTTTCTTCAGCGGGTTCTCTGAGGTCTGGCCAGAGTTCCCATAAACACTGTAATAGTACCTACTCGATCTCGCATATACCAGTATCAGATTTTCTATACATTGCATCAACTGGTTCATCAAAACATGCAATCGATTTACCTGTTCACCTCAAACAGAGAGTAAGGGAAGTCCAGACTGAGGCGCTCCTCGATTCAGGAGCATATTCTTGTTACATCAACCCACGGCTGGTTGATCAATTGAATCTTGCTATGATCTCACTTGAGAAGGAGATCAGGGTTTATAACGCAGATGCATCCCACAACAAGGGTGGAACCATTAAGAAAAGGGTTCTTCTGAGTATAACTATAGGAAACCACATAAGCAGACAAAGCCTTCTGGTTACCGATATAGGTCACAAGGACGTTATACTAGGCATGAGTTTCCTCAAGGAGCACAACCCTGAAGTAGATTGGGGAAAACTCACAGTCGATTTCACCCGATGCCCACATAGATACGCATCCTCACAGGTAGCAGTCCAGGAGGAGGACCTGGAAGACCCAAACATCCCCACATCGAAGACCTGATGGAGTTTGTCAGTTCCCAGGAGTTAGGTGACAACTGGAATGACATGGACAGCTTCATTAGATGGGTGTCATTATCAGAAGACCCTGACACACAAGCTGTAGCGTCGCTCATCATGGGCCTTGACACCAAGAGGAATCGGGATAGAACACCACAAAAAGGAGAACAGGACAAAGACTACTGGTCAGCCTATGTCCCCAAACACTTCCACGAGTATGGTGATGTGTTCTCCAAGAAGCAGTCAGAACGAATGCCCACAAGAAAGCCCTATGATCATCCAATCGAACTTGTTCCAGAGGCATCATTACCATGCCCAGCAAAGTTATATCCTATGAACTTACAGAAAAGAAATTCGCTCGACATGTGGATAGACCAAGAGTTGGCCAAAGGATACATCAAGAGATCAAGAAGTCCAACAGCAGCACCCATCTTCTTCATCAAGAAGAAAGACGGATCATTAAGGCTAGTACAAGACTACAGGAACCTCAATGCAGTAACAAAAAAGAACAAGTTCCCAATTCCCCGCATTTTGGACCTCATCGACAGGCTCTCACATGCCAGTATATTTACTAAGCTCGACCTGAGATGGGGGTTCAATAACATAAGGATTAGGGAAGGAGATGAAGAGAAAGCTGCCTTCATCTACCATCGTGGCCTCTTCGAACCCACCGTAATGTACTTCGATTTCTGCAATGCTCTCAGCACCTTCCAGACAATGATGAATACAGTCCTTGAAGACTTAATTCATACTGGAAAGGTAGTAGTCTATCTAGACAACATCCTCATTTTTACGGACGATCTTGAAGAACACCGACAACTAGTAAAAGCAGTTCTACAGTGCCTCTGGGACAATGACTTATACGCCAAACTGGAAAAATGCTTCTTTGAACAATCTTCAATGGAATATCTTGGCATAATCATCAGCAAGAATTCAGTACAGATGGACCCTGCTAAAGTCGAAGGTGTACTCGGCTGGCCTGCACCTACTAAGGTCCAACAAGTACAGGCCTTTTTAGGATT